GTTACATCACAGTGGCCTGCACAGCTGCTGTGTTTGAATAGCAGACCAATGATAAGTTTAGCAACATTTGACAAAAGTTCGGTCCAGCTGTCCTTTACCCTCTTTTGTCTGTTAAATTTTAATCTTTGAACCAGATGAGGCAATGTTTGCTTTGCATATGTAAAAATGTGTAATCTATCAGTAATTCTGAGGCATTCACACTTCAACGTGTTCATGAAATTTACATAAACTGACCCGTGCACAGTGTTGTTACTGTAAAGTCAAGAAATCATCTGTTTAGATGTAGCTACTCTGAGAGCGATCAGGTGCTGGACACCAAAAGTCACAGCAATGAAAAGTATTTATTTATTGTAATGTGTTCAATAGCCTTCTTTCTATCCTGATGTGTGTTATTTATATATTTCATGCTGTGTTTGTTTGTGATGTGAAAAGAATAAATGGTTACTACTCTGTGTGCCTTTCTATTTCATAAAAACGCAAAGTCCTAAAGCACACCTGCACTCAGATTGCCACAGAAACATGTGCATACGCCTCCACATTTCCACATTTAATTGCACGGCAGCAACAAACTAAACTAAACTACGACAGGAAAATAACAGGTTCGAAATGAATGCGGTGTGCAGCTTTTTTTTAACCTCTGGAATAAATCCAGTGAAGCCAGAGAAACTCATCTGTTCTGGTACGGCCTCAGAGGTTTTTGGGAGAACATTGCTGATTAAACAGCATCAGGATGACTTCTTGGTTTGTTTGGTGGATTGCTGGAAACGCCCCCCGTCGCCATGGTTTCCTTCAGCAGGCGAGGGAACTGCTGGAAAACACTGTTACAGGCTTCAAAGACGGGGTTCTGGGACAGTGTCAGAACTCAAACATCCAGCCAGAGCTACGATGGACTAGTCAAAGACCAGACCTACGTCCTGCTAAAGACCAGAGGCAGAAAACTGCTCTCCATCCAGGCTGACAGAGACAAAGCCTAAAGCACTTCCCAGATTTTCATTTAAAAATGACAAAAACAAATGCAAACAAACTTTAAGCTCCATGTATCATTTTCCCTCCAATTCACAATGATGCTCCCGTTTGTGCTGTTTTATCGCATAAAATCCTAATAAAATGCAATTTAGCTTGTAGTTGTGACATAAAAATGTGAAACGTGTGGATCTCAATGACAAGACCATAAGGGAATAAGGATTTTCTCCAGAAGAGACTGGTGTTTAGCTTTCTCTCTGTGGTTTCTGTGGCATGAATCAAAGAAATTGAACCTGCAGAAAAATGCAGGTATCTTATAACCCCATTTAAATAGCTGCCCACCTCTCTGGCAACAGGACGAAGAAAATAGGAACATCTAAATGAGAACCGACCCCAGATTGAGGTGCCCACCTAGCAACTGGCTGCACTGTTATCAGACGCCTGGCCGGTTATGCAACCGGCAAATATTGGACCAGATCACTTCGAGTTCAAAGGAAGTAATGTGTGTCAGAAATCCACATACAGAGACAGACGTGTGAAACTTGCAAAGAAACAAATGAGAAGTGCAGTTTGAATACATTTTATGAACCACATGTCCCACAAGTAACACGTTACAGAATCCTGAGCCCTTTGTTGGGTCAAATGGCTTAAATGTTACCTCTGGATGATGGTGCTAAAGGACAGAGCTTTTTTAAAAATAAATAATTGTGTTTTAAACCCAGAGGAGTGCAAATCAGCGGACCACAAACAGGCCACGGGTTGTTCTGTTCATTTGTCCTCGTTGACTCAACTGTTAATTCCTACAGTGACAAAGTCAACAAACGTGCCGCTCCAGTTGCTTCATGAGATGGGTGAACTCTCAGAGGATAAATATAGAATCAGGAGCTCTTTAAGGCGCACAGCCGCCCACGTTTACAGTAATGAACAGCCAGAAGGTGACAATGGGATCATGACACAACACAAACCGTCTCACTGAGGTTATAAAGGCGCCCATCACATTTTTGCTTATATGCCACAGCAATAAAAACATCTTCAGAACTTCTTGTTTTGAGCATTTCTATATATATTTTTGTTCATAAAAGCTTTAAAAGGCATCTGTGAGTGTGACTGAATGGTCTGTAGGTTTGTGATCTCTTTTCCCGTCTTGATGAAATGCAGTCTGTTTATTACTTATTTGATACATGGAGGAATGAGAAAAGCTGATAATTGTTTTTGTAAACACTTACTTGGACATGAAGATGAGATTTTTCTTTCTTTCGACACCATTATCTAAATTCTATTTCATCCTGACAAGCCCCAGTCCCCACCTTTTTCCAGAATATGTTGCAGAAATATTCTAAAAAAATCAGTACAGTTGAAGCAGCACAACAAGGAAAATATAAGATTCTGCTGTTAAAATAGTTAATCTAGTCAATATTGTGTCTGACCCTTCCCTGTGAGTAACTAAAACATATTACTTTTGTGCCGACATTTCTTTATAATCTATACAAATCTGTACAGCGTACAGGAGAGTTTTGGCCACAACACAGTGTTGGGTAACGTGGTTATCATCAGTAGTAAATTGGTAAATTAGTCAATTGGTAATTTGGTGTTCAATTCATTTTAAAATTCTAATAATCATTATTTTTCTATAAATCCCACTTGTTATTTACCTTTATGTATTTTGTTGTATTTTAAATGACCTTTATTTATTTATCCCTCCACTGTGGTTGTGCTTTTCCCCTTTTTTCTGATGTAATATGTACATTTTCCCACTGTGGGATCAATAAAGTATTTTATTCTATTGTAACCAGTCCAGCCCATGTACACTTGTTTTTAAAAAATAAAAAGTAATCTCATTGCTAGGTAATCCAAATCTCTGTTTAAGGCTCCTTATCTCTTATCTTCCGGCCTATTTTCAATCAAATTTGAACATTTTTAATGATGTTTTAGCTAGAAAAACCAACAAACGGCGCAGAGGAACAGGAGTGACCTTCATCTGCTGGTGCTCCCGCTAAACATGCAGCAAGGTGCGAATAACATTCAACATAACTGCTGAAAACAGTGAGAACAAAAACCTCTGAAGTTGTAACTGACTACTGCTCAAGGTGGTCCCTCCTGTGGACGAATACACAGCAGATTCCTGACAAAATGAAAGCGCTGCCTTCCTGCTTAATGCTCAGTAAGAAGCGACACAGGCCTGTGTTGGGACTTAGGGAGAACAGGTGCTCCGGGTCACAGCCGGGAGGCGGCCGGCAGCCCAGCTCCTCCACAAAGAGGCGCAGGGCCACGCGCATGTAGGCGCCGTGGCTGACCACCAGAGCGTGCACAGGGAGCCCCCCGGCCCCGTCCTCCGCCCGCCCCTCCACAGGAGATGCTGCCGGGGGTGCAGCTTGGCTGGTGGCATCCTGCCCTCTGGCCTGCCAGTGCTCCGAGCCAATGTGCTGCAGCGTTTTGTCCAGAAACCCTCTGACCCGCTGCTTCACCTGAACAGAGCACAGGCCTGTTACAAAACGCCCCCCGCTCCCTTTTCCGCACAATCATGCAGGGATAAAGTCAAAGGTTGCCTTAATCAAAACAGTCCAAACGCAGAGTGGCCTCCACCAATAGAAACCCGTGGCTTTGTGACGCAGGGAGCTCTAACTTGTTTAGGAAAGCGGGCTGGAGCTGCTCTCTGCTTACGTCAACTCTATCCTGCTACATCTGCATCCACGGCCGGACCAGAGTCAACAGGATCTAATGGATGATTTCTGACAAAGCATCTCTGGAATAGAACATCTTTACCTCCAGAACAACAGCCCCTCCCCCCCCGGAGTCTTCCTGCAAACAACACAAACCTAAGTGGTGACTTTTTAATCGAGGTAATGACGAACACGGTGGCCGGCCATGTACCTTGATCCCTGATTCACCGCATGGGCTCCAGAAATGCATAAGAAGTAAAGTCATGTGGATGCAAACAGGTCCTGACATAAAGGATTCATCCCAGGACAGCCAGTGGGCTGAGATCTGCATAGCTTCTGCCCCCTAGTGGCAGGACGTGTAAGCACATCTTGGCTGTAGTGCTTTTAAATTGCATTTCGGTATCACATGTTGAAAAGATCTGAGCCAGATTTTCCAGCTGTTCTTCAGTAAAAAGTGACATTTTTTAAAGGGGTAATAGATGATGGTGTCTGTCCAACATTTGGAGGTACCCACACTTAAACAGAAATGATGAATGCAACGAAAGCCACTAAAATCTTTTAGCTCAAGATGTAGGGAGTCTAATCTGAAGATGGACTGTTTTTTCCAAATGGGACGGAAATGCATCTGAAGTAATGCTGACCATAAGAATTATGCCTGTACTAGAAAAGATAGAGATCGAAAAACAAATAGATATAACTTGGTTTTCGGCGTTTGCTAGAGCACACAGTCAGTCCAGTTTAGAAGCTCGTTTAAAATCATGGATGATCGTAAAAGACCTGAACAACACCCGGCTTCATGCTGGAATGATGGATATAACCCACAACCCAAAACTCACCTGCTCCGGAGTCTCCCCGCCTGGAGGGGTGAAGTCTGGAAAGGCCTCCCCCGCTGCTTTGGCCATCTCCTTATAGTCCTGAACCCGCAAACCCTCTGCGGTCCCAAAGCTCTGAGAAAGTCAGCGAGTCGGACAGCTCAGGTTGAATCTTAATTCCAGTAAAAGCTTCATAAAGGAAGTACTCCCATAATGAAAAAAAGATAAGTGGCACTCACTTTCTCTTTAAGTAAAGGGTCGCACACCATTTGGAGATTCGAACAACTGCTGTTGTGTTTCATTATCATCTCAGCAGTCTGCAGGAAGAACAGAAAAATATCAATCAACAGAAAATGGGAGCTTTAGAATTTAATCAACCAGAGTTTTCCTTTATTTCTACCAAAGGAGTCTGATTCTGTGGCAGTCAGACAGAACTCCTCTGTAATCTAACTGAGAAAAAACTAATTTTCTGTCTTATCGTTCATGAAACCAGGCGCTGCCCTTTGAGTGGTTGCAGGAAACATATTCAATGCAGTTCAATTCAATTTAATTTTATCCCAACAACAGTCATCTCACAGTGCTTTCCAAACAGAGCAGGTCAGACCAGACTGAAGTTGTTTAGAAGCCCAACATTTCGCACCAAAAGCAGCACGAGGAGACACAGGGACAGAAATACTTCCTTTAAGAGGCAAAAACCTTAAGAAGAACCAGAGAGAGAGAAGAGAAGAGAAGAAAAGAGAGGACAGGGAGCAGGGGGAGTCAGCCTCCACAGTAACACATAGTGGCACAGACAGTAAAGGTAGTGCTACTGTAGACTGGATGAAAAGTGGTAGATATTGATAGTAATGATAATGATAACAGTAATAATAGCAACAGGACCAGGAACAGTAGCTGTAATTGTAGCAGGGGGAGTCCTGTAGGAACACGGCTACTGTGCTTTCAGCCATTTCTTTTCGGGGGCTTCATGTCTCACCTGTCGAGCCCGCAGCATGTCGCTGACAAACACGTTGCTGAACCTGACGTCTCTCAGGTAGCGGCCGGCAGCCTCAGCCTGCTGCAGCCCCGTCTCAGACAGAGGAGCATCTATAGTCTGGCCTGGAGGGAGAAGCACAGCACCAAAATGATATTCCAAACAAAAACACAGCACTGGGCAGGAAAATGAAGATTAAAGAAACAATTCACAGAGATCAGGTTAAAGGACACATCCACGCTCTTTTAATCCAGATTTGCTGGATGCCACCTACCTTGTAACAGTCCCTGTTTGTTGAATGGAGTTTCCCCACTAGAAAAAATAAACGATTTGTTAACGCTGGACCACAGGAAATAACATTAATGGTTTAATCACTTGTGATTCTGACAACTTCAAAAGGAAACATTTTCCTTTAGTTTAAAAAAAACTAATCACACACTAAATCTAAGATGATGTCAATACTTTAAGTTCAACGTTTCTAAGGGAAGAGTTTGTGCAACTAATTCTCCACAGAAACATCTGCAATTAGATCATCAAGAAAGTCAAGTTAAGTTAGTTCTATACCTGATCAAAAAAATAATGGAAAATGAAAAATTATGACAGACAAATTGCCAATCGGTAATGGTTTATTAATGCTGACTGACCTAAACAGCTACTGTTCTCATCTTTTGTTGTAGTTTAACCTGGAAAGCTGTTTCATTCAGGACCTTTAACCCAGAGGAGATGCTTGAACTTAGCTCCCGATACATTTTACTGTTCTATGGCTATTGATTATTCCTACAACACCAATGGCAAGGCCCACCACTAAATATCACAAAACAATATCTACTGAAACACGTGAAAGCTAAACATAAAACATAAAAACACAAACAACACCTTAAAAAGGACGTTTATGTGTTAACTTTAGTTCAATATCTTGCGTTTTTTATATAATTTTTTTGTGTATTGGTTTCTGAAACATGACTCTTTGGTTATTCTTTTCGCTCTGAGATTACTTACTACGTTTATTATACTTGTATTCTACTCTTTGACAAATAGCACAAAGCCCAAATTTACAATAAAAAAAGAAAATAATTGAAATTGTGTTTGCCAACTCACTAAATCAGTAAAATACGACTGCTTTCAGTCATATGGAGCTTAAAGAATAACCGTAGACAAACTTTAAGTTTAAAACTACCAGAAACTGAATCAAAAGTCCTTTTCAGTGTCCTAAAACTGTGTCACTGCCCCCTCTTGTGGTCATTGTGAGGAACTGCGGCGTCCACATACCGGCGTGCAGAACCCCGTAAAGTTGACCAAAGGGCTGAATAAAGGTCAAAGATCAACTTTTAGTAGTAGCTGCTCTTCTTTTCAGCCACTTTAAAGCTGAACTACCCGGTTAAGTCAGCATTTATCAGAGTGCAACCGCAATAACTACGTTACGTATCTTTAACTGCCGTTAACTGCTCCAGTACACCTGCTAGCTAGGTTCCCTACGCATATCAACACATAAAAAGTTTGTTTATTTACTTTAAAATATTGCTGAGGTACACCAGACGTCAGTTGGAGAGGGGGGTGGGGGGGCTTTCTTTAACAGCACAGCTGTAAATGGCAACGTTAAATCCACTTACTGTCGAACAAGGGTTAACGCAAACGTCAGAGTTCTCATGGCGTCGCCGGTAAGGACGGAGGGCAGCCGCATTAGTGACCGGAGGCTGTCGGGTGCAGCTCTAAAAACAGTGTGCAGCGACGAACACCGGTTGTGTTACCGTCCACCTGTTGTCGAATTTACATACTTTTAAAGGACATAACCCTTCAAAGATAACCCTCTAACGAGAGACCCTCCAGCAAAAACCTGTCTTAACGACGTTTGGAGCTGCCGTATTCCGGATATGAGAACGATACATGTGGTTTAAGCATTTCATCGCTAATTTCATATTAAGCGGAAAGTTATCAAAGAGGATAGACATATCGAAGTTTTAACGTACAATAGAGAGCAAATTGGCAACTAACTGATGACTTATTACTCAAACAACGTTTACAGAGTGGAGCAAAGAAAAGAAAAAAAAACTACAGATGTGGGTCCAAATGGCAAACTGAGGACATCTGGGGAAAAATCTAACAATAAAACAAAAACTATACAAAACCCAGTGGGGATAATGCTATACAAAATGCAACAGAGATGTGCATGATTAACCTCAAAACAGGAGCTGAAAAAAGCAATAAGCTGCAGTAAACTAATTCCTGATATATCCCAAAGCCATGGAGACTGAATGACACTATTGTCTGTGACAAATAAGGATTTTGTACAGATGGATTTGATCCAATTGGAACATTTTCAGTTGACCTAATTGCTGCTATACATCTGTTACAACAAGCCTAAACACTGTTTAAAGTGTTTTAAAAAACAGATAAATCACATCAGAATAATTTGCACCCATCCATCTATAGTCTCGGGTCGGACTGGAACATGTCTAAGCTGTCACTGTAAACACTTTCAACACAGTTCAACTCGGAAACCATGTTAGGAAGAAGATTGAGATCCAAAAACTAAAAAATCAGTTTTTAATCTAAAAAAAAAGATTTCCTCTGGAGGGAAATATTCCCACTCTTAAGAAAGATTCCAATTTGGGATTTGGCCACACTTTTTCCGACTTTTTGGTTGGCCCATTTATTTAATGCATGAATCTCAGATCCATCAAGATTATTTTGCGACTATTTACTAATCACAACTTTCATTTATGTAATTAGGCTCTTGGTGAATCGTGGGTTTAACAGGTGACAGCAAAGCAAGCCAAGATGTTTTCTGTAACATTTCAAGACGTGTTGAGTTTAGACTCTATTCAAGAATTACCTCAAGCGTCTTTGAGGAATGCTGTCAGTAGCGTCTGACCTGAGGTCAAAGGTCACTGGCTAACTCTAAAAGCAGGGCTCCATGGTTGGAATCATCCTGGTTCCATACCAGACTGCGTGGTGTTTCCATGTGTCTCTCCTAGTAGTCCAGCCACCTCCCACCATCCCACCATCTTAAACCTAGAACCTGTCTGGTTAATCTCAGGGACTTGTCCAGGGTGTACCACCTTTTTTGAAAGGATCCAGGAATGTTGGTCTGCTAAGCATGTATAGAAATCTAAATGTGCTGTCCAAAGATACTGTTGTGGGAGGCAAAGGTTGGCTCTCTTATACCGTAGAAGGCGTTTTTGAACCATTGGAAATTTTCTGCAGAGCAAGATCTGAGATAATGGCTGAAAATGTTTATATGATTTAACAGACTAAGGTTAAACCTTTCTGATGATTTAGTGATATTCCTCCACTATTCCTCACACACACTCACACTTATCTATTGATCATGAGACAATCAGACACAGCTGAAAAGGAACAGAGGCGTGGGAAATAGTGAGCTGATGTGGTGTCACACCCTTTAAAGCAGACGTTTATTGAACAGAGGTTGTGCAACAGACATTTGAGGTACACAATATGAGTTATAGTGGAAGGAGAGGCGGAGGGGGGACTCGAGGGGAAATCTGCACCATTGAAACTTCCAGATATCAGAATATTTATGACTGGACGTGACAGGTGTGACAATTCCAACGGTGCACATACACAAAGTTTTTTTGACCAGAACATGTCTTTCTCACATACAGAATCCATATTTACTGTCATTCTACGTGATCATGGTTGAATAAAGCAAGAACTGTACTTTGGCCATCACGGGAATGCCGTTTTTCCCTCTCTAGCACTTAGCGAGACGTAGCAGACGTAGCACCAACACGAACGAAAAAAGAACATGCTTGAACTGTCTGCAGCTTAAACAACTCAAAAGAAAATGTTACAGTGGACACAGTGAAAACACCCACTCCCCCCCCCCACCCCGACCTCCCACCCCCACCCCCTCCTCCATTATAGGTTAAGTCCAAGTGGAAGCCTTGCATATTTCCTGCTTTCCATCTCAACGAGCAAGTTCTTTACCCACCGCAACTGTGGGAATCATCCACAAAAAGGCTAATCTGTCGTTGCCTCCCTTCACGTTAAATGTATTCTTTGTCCTCTGTTCCAGACTTCCTCACTGCAGAGGTATAGGCGATGAGTTTGTGTTTTGTTTTGTCCAGTAATCCTGAGGTATAGGAAATACCACTGATGCAGAATGTGACCGAAGAAGGACAGCAAAAATAGATAACAAAAAAAAAAAAAAAAAAAAAAAGGGAAATGAAACATGCTATCTAACTGTACAAAGATCATTTCCAGTCGAATACTCATTTCATGTTCTTCTATCACTATCTACTTTGTTTTTCTGGATGTATCTCTTAAGGAGTAAAATAATTATATTATAATACAAATGTTTATAAAATAGCAGCACACAAGTGACATCACGACTAGGTAATGTTATTTTTTTGTATAAATGAAACAAATTCATAGCTTTTAGCAGCGCAAAAAGACAATAAAATATTGACACTTTTTTGTTGATGTCTTCACACCTCCTCGGTCCTCTCTTCACTTTGGAATACAGTATCTCTAAATCTTAGAAAAACCCTTTTGTGGATCTGGTCACCCCCAAAATACATATCAAACACAAACTGAACTGCGGTGTCAATATAAAACACATGCAACAGTAAATTGCAGGAAAGAAAGTATCACAACCATTAAGTTTGGGAGAGAGCTCACACAGAGGCCAAATGAAGGGGCACACCAGATATTTGGACAGGGATGTTTTTTTGGCAGACTTGTCGTTGAACTGCTCGGTTCCACTGAAAAACATCAGATCCCCACATTTTTGCTTCGGGCTGATAAATACATTCAGCAGAGTCATATACTACTCACGGGGGAAGATGAAATTCACGGACAGACAGTCGGCCTGAATCGGACCTGCACGAGCCAGCACCATATGAGAACTGACCAACCACAGCAGCACACATCAGTTAAGGTGGTTTAGAATGGCGGCCGTGCGGAGGTCTCATTGTTGCCCTTTGCGGAACGTGTGCAAACACTGGATGTTGAGGCCCTGCATGTGTGGCTCTCTGTGGTTGTGATGCAGATAAATAAAAAGAATAAATTCAAGTAAAAACAAATCTTTCATTGCTTGACAGTGGAGAAGAAAATCTGATAGGCCCCATGGGTCAGAACTCTGTGTGAAGCCATTTTCCAATTCATAAGTGTATATATTTTATTTCCCATTCGGTTCAATTTCTCCCCTCATGAATCGTAATTTGCTTGAACAGGAATGTATTTTTTGGATTGGAATGTCCTCTCGTTTTAAGTTTTGGAAAAGCCTTTTGAGTCTCGCTTGACAAGGGTATGTCTGACGTTTGGGAAACCAGCCCTACAAAGTAAACCAAAGAAAAGGCTAATGAGGAAAAACAAACAAAAGAAAAAAAAAACATCCACTCAACTCAAATCACCACCCAACGCATTTCATTTTACTCATCTCCTGGGGAGCATGTTCTCAAAGTGCTTTGACATTGAAATCATATAGGGGAGCTGAAAACAACCCTATGTGGGACTCCAGATGCATTGACAGTATATTTTCATCCTCTATCCTCGTACTCCTCTAATTAACCCCACCCCCCCCAAAAAAGTTGATCCTTGCATGATCTGGCAGCGTGCAGTCTTTGTTGTGTTCCTTGTGTCATTTCCACATATATGGAAACCCAGAACATATATGTTCACCTGATAATATAATTGTAGAAATCCATTAGAAGAAATTAAAGGTGATTCCACTCTAAAATGCAGACATCAAAGTTTCATTTTGAGGCTTCTGGGTGTCTTTTGTTCATCGTCTTCCAGCCTCTGGCTGAACATCATCCACATCTCCTAAACAGCAGCATGCTCCTGCAACACTAAAATCCTCCCGTCCTACCACAGTGACTACTTGGCTGTCCCTGTCTTTCTGAATCTTTCCACATCTCGCTCCGCTCCCCCTCTGCTCAATAACAAAGGGCGAGTTTCAACATAGAAGACCTTCTCCACAATGCGTTCTTCTCATGCTCCCACATGCACCGGACACGCTGTGCATGTGAGAAGTCTTTACTTCTCTGCTCGGACTCAAAGCAGCCTTTCACAAATGAGGAAACATCACATCATAACAAGCGGAAGATATATAGGTAGAATGACGGTCTCAGTGACGCTTCGTCATCACAATGGCAGTAATATGCCTCACGTGATCTCCGAGCCTAAAGTAAAACTCTCTCAGACAGATATGGGGCTCTGTAACAACAATCCCTTTGCCCATATCTTCCTTTGCCAAATCTATCCCCATCTCTTTCCTGCTCCACACTGCTTATTGCTGGCCAGCAATAAAGCACGATTCACCATTAATGCATGAAGGCAGTGACACAGCGTATATGCCCAGTTACACGGATGGACAGAGGATGTATAACCTCGACTTAATCTGCCGTCTTTTCCAACAGAACTGTAAGTCCGCCGCTTTGCTCAAGTGCCTTGCGCCATACAATGCACACTGCTAATATAGATACAGGATCACATGTAACATTTACACCCCACACACACACGGCACAAACACACACTTACGGACTAATTACCAAGCACGCCTCCACTGTGCGCACGCAAACTGACGCATACAAGCAGCCTGACGAAAGGAGCTTATTGATCTACCACTCGGTTCCAAAGTATGTCCAATGATAACATTAATAATAGTAATCACTAACACTATTAATATCCATTATCATCCCAGCAACTGCCTGGAAATGGGACCCATCAACTTTTAGCACAACGCTCCCTTGGCTTCCTTGTCTCTTCCTTGACAAACATGCGGACCTAGAGGCCGCCGGGGAGCTGGAACATGTGCACTCTCTTACACCAGCAACAAATGTAAGGTGATAATACTCATAAAACTAAACAGAGAAAAAGAAACGTAAGCCCCGCTGTGATCCTGTGTATGCAGTTTCTTAATGGTCTCCACAACTTCAACCATGACAGCGTCATTATTAAGCTATGGTTAAAATATAACTTAAAGGTCATACTATACAATAAAAGGCAGAATGCAAATATGATTGGCTTCCCTTCTGTATATCCAAGGCACCTCAAAGCTTCATCTTGTATCAAATTTGTTGCTTTCAGACCAGAACATTGTAGAAAATCTATTTCATGTCCTGGTGTTTTTTTTTTTTTTGACTTGAGGAACAGATAATCTACGAAAAAACTAGCAAGCATTGTACTTTTTCTTTTAAAGGGCTTGTGTTTTTAAACATTTTTGTTCTTTTGTTCTTTTTTTCTGCTTTTATGAAAATTGAGGGTTTTTTTTCATGATGCTTTTTTTCTTTCGTTTTTTTTTTCTGTTTTTGTAAATCCTGTGCAACGATGCCCTCTGGTGGTTCACAAGTTGACATCGCGGACATCTGTGGGGGTGGAGGACTGATCCAGCTCATCCAGGCCTTTTCCGCTGGGGCCCCTCTGAGTTTGCTGCTGCTGCTGCTGCTGCTGCCGCCCTTCACGCAGGCTGCTCTCCAGCACGCGCTCAATCTGCTCCTGGCACTCTTTCAGGACATCCTGTGATGGCGAGATGGAAAGGGAGAAGCAACTTGTTATGTTGTATCCACTTTAATTAGCCTGTCAGCGTCTGATCATCAACTTTTAGCCTTAATAACTCCACAAAATGAACAAATCTTAGTTGGAATTGTCGGTTGGAACGGTCGCTTTTAAAGCTCAAAATGAGAATAGTACTCCTAAATAGTGCAGTTGAGGTTTAAAGCTCAACTCTACAGCGTACATGGTCCAAAGCAACAAGGTTTTTAGCATCTTTTTGCGTCCTTCTGTGAGGGACCCCTGGCTCACTGATTTCAAATAGCCCCAAACTTTCTAGCTGCTGGCTAATGCCAAAAATGAGCACAGACAAGGGCCAGACCCAAGCATTACATCAGCCCACCAGGGTTGAGCACTGAATACCACCCCCATAGTCCTCACATGCACACACCCGTGCGTGCATGATACTGCCTCCCCCATCCCACCACTTCAGCCATTCCCAAGCACACACACACACACACACACACAAAACCCAAACAGAAGTAGCCTTGACAACAGCAGCTGAAAACACAGGTAGTATTAAAGCTATGTTAATTACATCCACCTCCTGTGGGAACACAAAGGTGGTGCTTTTTTAACGAGAGCCAGTCTGTGTGCCTGCCTGCCTGCAGGGGATCCATCCAAGACCTGGCTGCCTCCACTTTCACCATCAAAGGCCACTGTGGTAATCTGAGAATCCACCTGGGAGACAAGGCCCTCAACAGCACTGAGGCCTCATATCCTTAGTCTGATGGAGGGTTGAGAGAAGGGACAGAGCAGTGCAGGAAGAGAGGAGGACTGTTGGGGGTGGGGGTGCGTGTTGGTCGGAGGGTGGAATGAGTTTTAAAAAATCCCCAAATAGGTTGATTGCGAGAGTGTCAGTGTAAGGTCAAGATGTTTTAAGGGGAGGAACAGTGATGATAGTCATTAAAGAACTCCAGAGGTAAGAAGACACTGCTGCAACGGTGCAGCTAATGTGAAGAATCCTGTCAGGAGTTGACTTAACACCGCTCTCTGCTGGTGAGATACTAAAAAACAAAACAAAGTAAAGTTCCCTGCTCACAGCTTTACACATGCATGCACATGCATGACCCCCTGCCTTAGAGCACCAGGCATCTGTGGGGATCACGACAGAGACAGGGATGGGTGAAAGTGAAGTGCTGTCGAGCTGGGAGACATTCTTTAGAAATTTACAGCTAATCTAAACCTGATGGGCCACAGTTTGAGCCTGTGTTATAGCCTCTGGTGCCGCTGGGCCTTGATGAACTGAGAACTGAGCCCTCAGTCACTTCAGAAATGCTTGTTGGGAGATGAACGGGGCCGAGTGACAAAAGGTCACCGTGTCAAAGGGCAAAAGGCACCAAACATTACAGGGTGAGACATATATTGAGTTGTCAAAAAAGAGCTAAGTCAAAGCCAGCTTTCAACACAGCAGAACTGTTGAAATTCTGTACATATGGACGGTATTGTCAGAGACTTACAAGAGGAAAAAAAGACTAACTTTGATTTTACATTGCAAGAATCTGATGTAAAGCCTTCTGTCTTATTGATTTTGAACGCTCTGAAAGCAGCTCAAGAGCCATGACGGCTAATTTTGAGCAGAAGAGGTTGGAAGCATTTGTGCTGCGTGACTTTTTCCTAGAACATTTTTATCAACAATGGCTCTTACGTGGAGGAAATCTGTCCCTTAACTATTGCAGTTAGCAACATGAGGAGGTGCACGCTAACAAACACGCCGAGTCTCCCACCAACGTCAGCCTCAGTGGCCGTAAAATCTCAAATCCTGTGAGAAAATTAAGTAAAGCGCAGAACAAGTAAAGGAACTGCCTGTGTCTTACCACAAAAATGCATGCCTACACTTCTTAAAAGACATTCTCCCCCAGTCTCTGTTTGGATCCCATGCCAAGCCCCATGGGCTTCATTTGAGAACCTTTAATGACTTCAATGTGTGACTCCTGGAAACACCAGCGCTGCTTTCTGAAGAGACCAAGGTACTTGGACAATGTGGGGGCCAGCAGCAGTGAATAAATTGAGCGGGTTGGTGTGGTGGTGCATCTCATTTCGCAGCCGGAAGGCGAGCGACCACCTGAAATCCCGCATTGTAAAAAGAGTCCGCCATCTGCCACGACTCCAGCACGCATCCCATCGCAGCAGTGTGTCATTCTGACAAATCAAAGCATGCAGATTATCTCTGGGCAGCCTTTGTGACACTGGCAGCAGCGGGAAGTCGTGCAGACAGACAAAACCAAAAGGAAGAAATGTGTGAAGCCGTGGAATGTGTTTTAACTGCTGACTGTACCACACAAGACAGTGTTAGGAACTCTGGGAGGACTTGGTGGTCAGACAGCTGAAACAAACACACAGGCAGACACAAACTACAGAGCCGAGGGAATCTTAAAACTAAATATCAGTGGGCCGACACTGGAAATATGAAGTCACCACGTGTTGAGAACTTCCACGAGTTACAATAGGAAACGTGACCTTTCTCCTTCTACAGCTTACATGCAGTAACCATGTTCATGAGGAGGATTTCTCCTGATGAATGGACGTTTCTTGCGAACATTTGGCTCAGATACACGACTTTAAATAAGAGAAATGGGGAGAAAAAGCGGAACAAAAACAGGAACCAAGGGAGGAATGGGAAAATGTGTTTCCGGTGTCTTAGTGTCTGACCCTGAGTGAGAAAAAACATGAATGTGAGTCTGAGAAAACCATAGTCCAAACAATAAAATCTAGGAAGTGGTGGTCTTAAGCCCTTGCACTTCTCTAACCTCTATATCCTGTTTTAATCAATCGAGAACAAACGGAAGCTCCACTCTTCTGTTTATGGGCTCTTTTGGCCTTAAAGTGTGTGCAGTCGGACTCATTAGAGCTAACAAAACTGATCTGTCTCACATCATAAATCGACACATTCACACTGATTTCATGTTTTTCTCTGCACGTCGTAACGGGAGGCCCCCGTCTGCTCCCTCTCCGGCAGCCTGCCCCTCTCGGCCACACCAGGTGTATGTGTGAGGCAACACACATTCTTCCAGTGACCCGAGATGGTGACTTGGCCCTATCACATTTCCACTGGAAAACCACAGCTTCTGGATACCACAGATGCCAGGGGGGTGGCGTTGGCCATGATGCTGTTGGCAGCAGCAGCTGCAGAGGTTGGCGAAACTCGCCGTGCCTTCATATTTTGCCTGGCTCTCTGGCCCGAGATGCTGCTTCTCTGCCATTTTGCCGACCGTCTGCGCTGCCGGCCAAAATCCAACACAGTATGGTGTGTGTACACATTTAGACGCCGGCTCATGAATGCAGTCCTCGCAGAGGCCTTCGGGTGTAAACTTCACACATGAAGTGACTGAGCTGCTCGGAAAAGAAGTTAGTGTCACTATTAAAATGGCAATGGCCAGATCACCATTTCCTCTTTTTGCCCGTATGAAAGCATTAACAAAGGCAAAGCAGCCACTTACTAATACTTTTGGCTTCTTCTCGGTGTTTGTCATCAGGCTGCGCTTGTTAAGCCGCGGTATTAAGTTTTGGTCGGCCTCTTTGCAGAAAAGCCTCTCACATATGTTGAAATAGGAAGGACACCCTATACTTTGCCTCCGGTGTTTACTGCAAGCCATGGCTTGTCTGAATCCAGGAATGTAAGGGGTTGATCACAGAGACACAGAGCGACTTAATTCCCCCAAGTCTTCAGACCCTGCAACCTAAACACACTGAGGCCCTGTGCTGCTGAGGCCAGCTATTTGTTTTTCCTCCACTGCTGAGCGAGACTTCACACAGCTCGCACCAGAGGGAGCCATGGCATCCAGCAGTGATGCATTATGGACCATAGGAGGAGCTGAGAGAGGGCTGATTGTCGCAAGGGAGGCATGACACCCCCTCAGTGTCCTTTTCACACTTCAACAGCTCTCTCCCACCTCCTCCTACTCCTGCTTTGCCTTCTTTTGGGACAGTATTTAACATACCAGGGTGGATGCTTGGGATCAGTGTTGTGCCTGCTGTTCTGCTCCCTATGCACTGTGCACACATTAACTCGAATGTTTGTATTAAGTCTGCTGTTACCCACCAAAAGCCTTTTTCATCATGTTTGGTATTGCTAGCCCTGCTGCCAAGCCGACGGCCTCAGACCTGGAGCTGCTCCCCGAGCAGCCTCTGCGGCTGCCTGCTGCTCCCAAATAGTTTGCACGGGTAAAAACCCAAGACGGCTAATTTCCCAGCAGAGATTAATAAAGAGCAACTTCACTCATCATCTCACGATGTCATTCTCTCTGCGTCCCACAGCTCTGCCCATCCATTCACCCGTGCAGCTAGCTGGAGCAATCTGAAGCCCTCGACCATCTGCATGATGAAAGCCAGGCATCACGGAGCCAGCGGGGGCTCTGCCCGTGTTTAGACTCCACTCACCCACCTCTGCAACATTCACTCTACCAAGACAGCCACACAACAACCCGGCCAGCGACAAAGCATGCAGTATATGTTTTCAACTTGGGCTTGATTTAGAAGATTCTTTACACGAGTGGGGTCTTAACAGCCACACAGGATGGATGGAGAGTTAAAGAAACTTGTCTCACTCGCCTAAAGTCCGCTTTATAAAAGAGAAGAGTGCATGAGACGGTGCAGAAAGCTGCAATGTGTTGATGCCTCTTCTCTTCTGTGACAATTATTGGCACTAAATCTCACGTGGTTTGTTGGAAGACAAATGTCAGCCAGGTCAAACCTGTTCAACTTTTCAACTTCTGTGTTGTGAACACAAGACCTTGACAAACGTGGGATTTCTCAACACACATTGCAGATTTTCCTTGGGTAAAAAAAAAAGAACCCTCTACTTGTTACCAGTAACCGGCTGTAAAACTTTTTTTTTCAGTGGTAATAAGATGACTTCTTTGAAGTTTTCGAGGGGAGTTAAAAACTTATTGCAGAGGTGAGAATCTTCTCGTGTTTGAAGCAGCTGATTCAGCTTTGAATCAGCTTTGAATCACAGTTACCGTAAAACTTGTGTATGGGGGAAAATACCAGTAAATATCAAACTGATGTCTGCAAAGATGTTAACATTTTCTCATCGTCTCCAAACACGGCTCAGAACTCCTATACGTTCCCTCCAAGTATATTGTTTTCTGCTCAACTTTGATTAAAAAAAAGACCACACCATGTTCATTTAAAAGCAAAAGAAAAAAAACACATTAGCTCTTATAAAAAAAAAAAAGAGAAAGCTTTTCTGAGGCAAATGTTCCACATGAAACCAAAAACACGATTTCAGAAACTTACCACTTCTGTGTTGGTGATTTTGGCCAGCAGGTCTGTCAGACTGTCCCCCCACTGTGACTGGTCAGCTGAGTCCAGCTGCAGGCCACAGATCGCTGCCCCCACACTTCCTGTGGCGATCATGGAGGGAGGGTACATGGCGAATCTGAAATCTGATAAGGGGAAAAATATCTGTTGAGTTAAACGTGCCGTCCAAGCTGTTAGTTTGTAAATAATTCAGAGAAGCGCTCGTAGTGGAGTGAAGCTGGAGAGCTCAAATCCCTTTGTTCACTGGATAAATGGTTAACCATTTATCGTTGGATTCTTTGTTCACCTGGTGCAGTTTGTAAAATGTTTTGAATTGGCAAAAAGAGTGCAGATACAATGCGTTCCGCCCCAAGACAATATGATTTGGTAATCTAGCAGTCAGCTAATAAATACCCCTTCTATTGCACTGGGTCTGAACGCAGGACTCACTAATGACCAGGGGCCTGGATAATGAGGGTTCACTTGGCTTGTAAAGGAGCTGAAAAGCAACCACCCTCACCCGCTCCCCAATCCAGTCCCCCTTTCCCCAGCCCGGCCCCTTTTCTTCCATCTCCTCAGTAAATCGTGTGCTCACTGAAAAAAGCCCCATAGCGCTTGGAAAAGGAGGAATAAAGAGGCTCAGTGCCTTTGCCAATGCGCACTGCTGTAGGTCCTTTTTCCACGTGTGGTCACAGGCGCGCGTCTCAAAGACCAATAACCTTGTTAGCTCCCCTCACTGTCATTCATAATGCAAATGAGACAGCTTGTGAACGGGCCAGAAGCCCGAAAAGGCAAGGCAACTGGCATACAGGGAGAAAGAGCAAGGGAGACAGACAGACAGGGAGAGAGTTTTTTTTTTCTCCTCACAAACACACACTCACTACTTTCTCTATTCTCTCTTTATGTCTTGCTCAACTTCTACCTTTCTCTCTGGATAACACATGGCCTGCTTAGAAGGGCCAGTGAATGGCACACATGCCCCAGCCTTTGTTGTTACAACAGGCAGTGGTTTGCATTGGCGGCCCTCCTATCTTTTAGCATATTAATAGAGTGGCGGGCCTGCGAGAGGGAAGGCAGAAGAGTGTGACTTCATTGTCCGGAGTCATCACCTCATTTCACCCAATTGAGAGACACAGCATCCATCCCCTCTCTGCTGATACCAATTCAGCAGGACAGGCTGGACAAAGACAGTGGCTGGACATGCAGGGCGGGGGGTCGACAGAGGGAGGAAGATGAAGAGGGAGGGATGGACGGTGTGGCGACAAGGAGAAAAGAAGGCAAAGGTGGTGGGCGTAGCGAGGAGTGAGAGGGGGTTGACATCCCTGCCGCATATCACTCTCAAGTCTGTGTCCAGACCCTTGTGAGGTTTTGGAAGAAGAAAAGACTTGCCCTCCAGTGACCCTCACCTCCTGCCTCCCATCCAACCCCTCCTTTGGTGCAAATATTTCTCTGTTCCTGGGCCACCTATGGGCTAGAAGAGCAGGCAGCGGGGACACTGAAGCAGCCTGCACATTAACATTTTGCCATATTCAACTGCAAAGCAAACTGTGTGCGATGGCTGTGAAGGAGATTTTTCTTCCTCCTTTTTTTATATGTTGAATCAAAGGGGTAGGCCCTTTGATAGCTGCAAAGGCAGCGTCTCACTGCCTTTTTAACATGCACGGCCAGGCGCTTTCTCATCTTGTGGGCTCAGTGTTGACAAATAAATGAACTTATTATACACCCCTGTGTTAGCTGCTGGGCCTCTGCCAAGTAGAGATTTATTAAAGGCCACCTCGAGCCAAGAGGAAAGGGCACACAAAGCCCCGCGCATTACATCACTGCTGTAAGACCACAGCTTTTCTATGGAGGGGAAAGAGTACAAAGGCATACACAGACTTAATGTAAGTGTGCGGTGAGCGCTGCCTGACAGGCAAGGCAACGGACACCTTAGAGACGCACGCATGAAACAATGCACCGATCCCTGCGCGCTTTAAGATGTGGACAGACCGGCACGCACACACATAGAGCACAGATGTAGTTTTGTGCGAAAGCTGAGTGGTGGGCAGTGGGCAACAAGCTGATTTTTCACACTCAAGACAAGACAGGTCTGTAGCAGAACAAGGACGTGCGCGTGCAGCCGATGCGGGCTGACACTGTGGCCTGGTGGCTGCTGCATGCCGGGAGAAGAATGGCTGTATTTTAAGAGGCCCTCATTGATATTCATGTTGAGGATAAACAGTGTAGGTAGCTGAGTGGGGACGCCTGCGATGGAAAGCTCCCTGTGAGCAGCTGCTGGCTGGCCTGGCCTGCGCGCCTCTCACCCCATTCAATGGCCCTTTCTCCTCCCTTTGCAACCTCGTCTCCATTCCTGCGTGTTCCTACCCAGGAGACTTCATCCCTGGGCCCCTGGTCACGCAGCCTGCTGCCCTACATGGCCTCCTCCTTCTGGGTGGCTGTGATGCTCAGTGCGCACGTTAAAATTATAAATCAATTAAAGCTGGAAAGTTGAACAACTGCCAAATGAGGAGAGAAAAAAAAAGCCAAACTGTTCGTTTTAACGCCTCCCTTCGTACCAGCGCTGTAAATCAGGTTTTTGTATTCTCTACCACAGGTATTAGGTAAAGGTACCTTGTTTATTAAAGGAGTACCGTTAAGAGTATCTGGGCCTGTTGACTGATCAAGGTTAAAAACAAACATCATTTTGGGATTAGCATCACAGTATGTTTCAGCACTAATGCAACACAGACGGGCAGTCAAAAAACAGTCCTGTGGAGAGCTACAGTCCAGATGTTATGCCAAGCATAGCTCCTCGAGTCACACAAACAACAACAACCTCCCCACTGGGTTCGGGAGGCTGTAAAGGTTCTTTAAATGTAGGAAGGAGAGAATAACAGATCAAGACAGAATAACTTAACTGCTCCTTGTTCCAAGTAGTCTCACCAGAGAGACACACGCCATAAAACTCCGGTCGGAGCCACTCATTTAAATTCAATTAGCCTGAAAGCAGAATTCCTCCCAAATTGTAGCATCCTGTGAGTGCTCTCTTCAGCCTTTCACCATCATCTCCGCTGTCACAGCTGCAGCCTACAGGCATTGGTAATGTCAGAGTAGAGGAGCATACAGATTTTGAGGGTGGGAGGCAGAGGAGTTTGCATTTTGACTTCAAATTGCAAACAAGCAATTGAGAATACAGCATTTTCCTAGTTTCCTGTCGGAATTGGTCAAGATGCCACTCGTTGTCCTGGCATTCGCTGTGGTGACAGAAATGATCCAGCTCAGTCTAGCAAACACTAACATCTCCTTCACCTCAAATCGCAAATGTTAGTCGTAAAGGAAAGCGCGACACCCGGCGTAAACGATTGAGCCTAAAAAGCTGGTTTTCTCAGCCTCTTTGTTCGCATAACTGTAGCATCCGGAGTAAAAATCTCTATCTTTCTGGTGTGACTCAGCTGGCAACAATATTTATAGTGTGGTGGTGATTCCACCAGCGAGGTGAAACGGGAGACTCAGGACATACCACCGGATGACTCACACCGCCTGCCACATTTTTGGGCACATACTCTCTGGAAGCTTCTTCCTGCTTCATCTGGTGCCACTGCAGCCCAGGGCGGGTATGATTCCTCACATCGGCAAATCAATGATAATTTGTTGGAGGAGGTGACTAATTGGTTCAGGTTCTGAATCATTAAACATGAAGGGGTTTTATGTCAACAAACACTAGTAAGGACCTTTTTTAATTGACCACATGTGAGATGAGTCATCCATCTCTTGAATGCCTTGAGCATTGAGGGGGGGAGTCTACCAGGAGAATTCCCCTGTGTAAATTGATATATTCGCTTCCATAATATGACTCACAGAGCACAGCAGGACATGAATGGAATTGGTAAAAAACAAAAAAACGTCAATATATATCTAAGATTATTCTTAAGGTTTAGAAGCCATGCAACAGATTCTCAATGAGCCACTTAACATGTAAAATTTTGTTACTGAAACCATATTAGCAAAATTTTAAACCAAATACTGAAAAATGTCTTTGAAAGAGCAAAAGCGGACCTATGAAGCAAGGTTTTCTAATGTTTGTTAGCTAGTGAATCATTAGTTTGTCAAAGGAAAACTAACCAGTTAATGATCAAATTTCCTCTCCCATAGTTCAAAGACATGTCCACATACCAGAAACAAGCAAAAAAAATACTATCTGTAGATAAAAGAATGAGTAATCACTTACTAAAATCACTTCTTTAGATACCAACTTGTAGCAAGATCTTCATTATGTCCTTCAGGACAATTGACTCTTATTTGGGCCGCGCTGTTGGCCATGATCCAGGATTTCCTTTTGATCAACTTCTATGACCATTGTCACCATTCCATGCATACCATTACCGGGAGGGCTATTGGATCCTGTGTTTAATGCACCATAATCCCTGCCAATATGGCAAGAAGACGGAGCTCAATGACCCAAGCAGACAGGTTGGGGTGCATCTGTCTGCCCCATGCTCCCCATCCATTCTCCCACTTTACATCAATTGAATAAGAATAGAAGAGGAAGCTCTGAGTGCTTGGAGTCTGTGTGCTGGAATGGAGGTTCATAATCTCCCTTAATGAGCTTGTTTCTGGGCTATTATCTGGCGGCATGCCTGAGGGAAACGCTGGTGTTTCCTATCAAGTGGCCCTGCAGCGCTGACCCTCACATGGTTCTGCATATGAAATGTAAGGAGCAGGCCTTTTGTCTCCTTTTCCCAGTCTCTAGCTGAGCCCATTTGCATAGGCCTGAATGGTCCGACCAATGTTATTAATTAATACAGAGCCAGCCTGCGCCACCTGACAAAATCCCACCGAGTGGCCCGAACGGAACTGTTTCATCAAAAGAGAGGAGCCATTAGGAATGAGAGGACTTATTCTCCACTTCTCTCACTTGTTCTGTTGAAAACAGAAAGCCATGAGTTTTATGCATGTTTTCTTTTTCACTACAGGCATGGCAGAAGTGGATGCAGCGTAGGCTGGTGGGCTGAATGGGAGCGGACCAAATGGGAAGGCCACAGGTGACCTGTTGTCAACTGCCAATATGAATGTAAATCCTACTGAGAGATCTCCTCCTTCTGCTCCGTCTTCACCTTCTCAACTCCGCTCCGAGGATGTCTCAAGGAGGATTCTCACCAGATAACCCCAAAGATTTATGGCTGGGAAAGTCCCACAAATGGGGTTCGAATTCCCTGAGATCTTCAGATGCACCAAACTGTTGACTCGCTCATGCACTCATTGTTTTGCCCTCAATTTGTGTTTGCTTGGATACAAGTTTGAAGAGAGCATACACAGATAAACGGCCTGCTGCTGATCCAGAGCTATCTTCTGAAATGTCTCTCTCCTGATACACAATGTGAGGAGGAAGACTCCAGGAGGCTCGTAAATTTAGTTCCACTGCCTCATTGAAGCAATTAAGGACAAAGTGCATGCTGAGTCTTTCACAATGTTGCTTTGGGAATAGGTCTGATCACTGACACGCTGTCATTCCACACATGAATCCATTGGCACAAAATTAGGGGTGAGAGATCCAGGGAGAAGAAAATGGAGGAAATTGAGACACAGCGAAAAGAGTGAAAAGAGCATTTCTTCTTTAAAACTTTGCAAACACGCACATTCACTGCAAACTTTTCTTACTCTATCATATCCATTGCACAATCAGCACTTAATGGTGTAAATACTTGTCACCTCCCTTGTATCTATTCAAGTAACTATGCACACTCCTCTGAATGATGGCAACACAAGGAGCTGTTTCCCATGGGGGGTGCAGCGAACATTCTTGTCCCTGGCCTAGAGAAAATGAAGCAGCTGATGGAGGGGGTCACCCAGAAAGCGAGAAAAAGGGATTGCCAAACTGCACTGTTTCGCCTTTTTTGTTATTGTTGTATGTCGGTCTGTTCATCTTTGAGCACGATTACAGCAGAAATACAGGGGTGAACTTCATGTCCCAGATACAGAAGACTTGCTTTCAAAGTTTGGACATGAAGTTTTAAAGGACATGTGGGGCTTGCGCCGGTGCCTCTA